ATCCTTTATTAGTGTTTTAAACAAGATATGGTCCAAGTGGACAAAAGGAACGAGCAGAAACATAAACATGTGTCCAACGAAGAAAGGTAAAATAACAGAAGCATAAACAGTAATCTGATATGAGATGATAATAATGGAGCATAAAGATAAAAGAGAATAGGGAGCAAGAATGAAACATAAACAAAATTAGTACAATGATATCGTTAGTGAGTTAATGATTAGTTGTTATAGAGCAAATGATCAACGATGGTTAACTCATGCACTTAAGGCAAAGTTGATGAAAACTTATTAGAGGATTGATAAAATCAAATCCTCATAACAACAAGTTTCTTAGGTGATGGACCTCAGACAAATAATCAACCATACTTAGACTTTCAAACATACGTTTGAGCCACGAATGATTACTTTCCAATTACGGGACAATTTAGCGCTATGTTAAGCAATCATAATCGAGTTTATGTAGAAACCACGACTATTTGAGGTTGGTCAATAACAATGTTAGTGCTAATGCATGCTAGAGAAATGATATATAGATCACTCTACAAAACAATACCGCACGAAAAGAAAATAGGTAACGATCTCATCTTCATCTAGAACTTGAAATAAGTTCAAACGATATCGAAGATTTTCATCTATCAAAAGAAAAAAGAGAAGAGGAAAGGGAATGCCAAATTGGATTACAAGTTCAAGGTCATTCCTTCTTTAAGTTCATCCTCTCTTCCTGGTGGATTAAAGCACTAAACATATCATTAACTCAAAGCACCTAAAATGAATTGAACAATTCACTTTAAAGATAGATTTGAATTAGTGAATGTTTATCGAACTTCATCTACACCCTGAGTCCAATGAATTTAAAGAGGAAAATGACCTTTAAAAGTGCATTCCAAGGAAAAAATCAAAAGGAAATGGAAGAAGAAGAAAGAACCAAAACAACCCAAAAACAGAGCCAAAAGGAAAAATCAACACTGGTAATCAATTACCCTAAGCTGGTAATTGATTCTCACTGCTAAAACAGCAGCAAAATAGTCTGAAAATCTGCAGAAACTTGATCAATCATTTCTTCAAACACCTCATGATCAAGGATGCAATTGAGCACAAAAATTCAAGTAAAATAACAACAATCAACACCAATAGAACACAATTTTCAAGATCCAAAGATCAAGCAACAAGATTCAAGAATGTATCACATTGTGGAAGATGTATCAAGAACAACAATGGTGGATCAAGAAATTATCACTACAAATCTGAAAATTCTTCAAACCAGCTTCACAAGCCACACTTCAAAGCCTTGATCTACTAGAATTGATGATGAAAAAGTGAATGGGTGAAGGTTTAGCTCAAAGATTAGTAAGTTCTAATGATGAACTTACTAACTTTCAAAGGAAGAAAGAGCTTTGGTGAATTTGGTAATTGGAGAAAAATTTAGAGTCAAGAAAGAATTTGAGAAGGTGAATTTGGCTATCAAAAGCTTATGAAATGAGAGAAATGAGGCCTCTATTTATAGGATTTAGGCTTGGAAAATTCGGTGGATTGGAGTTTGATTTGGAATCAAAATTAGGCTTGGAATTTGAAATTGGAGGGAAATTAATAACCAAGTGGTGATTAGTGAAGGTGTATGGTGAGAATTAATTATGATGAGGTAGGGGAATTAAAATGAAGTGATCTAGAATATTCTCATGTTGCAATATTTGAATTTGGTGCCAAAAATGCTGCAGAATTTGAATTTGCCCAATTTTCACAAAATCCGCACTAGTAATCGATTACCACTGGCAAAAGTAGTGAAAATTTGCCTTTTTGATGTGTTGTCTTGGCTCTGGATCGATTATTTTGCTTGTCAAAGAAGGCATGGAAATAAACACATGAACCATGGAGTCTCTTGAATAAAATTCAATCAAATCTTGGAAAACTCTTGATCAGATGATTTTGAAATGGTTGCGTATCAACTTCGACTTTGTTCAGATAAAAATTTTTCGAGCTGAGAAACTGATATTTGATATCTTTGCTCCAAAATCTTCCTGAAGATCTTAGTAAAGGAAAAACAAACATTTTTTGGATTTTAATCAATGGTTAGTAAACATAAACATAAACAAATATCAAACAAACAATAAAATAAAGGTACTCGGTGATCTCTCAAGAACAAATCTGCAGAGGAAGGAAAGAAAATCAAAGCTTATAATTTTGTTTGTGAGATGAGATACAAATGACATGTGGAATCTTAGGGGTAAAAATTAGGGTATTGCAAACCCCTCCCTTCTTAAATTACATCTCATAGTTATAACACTTCTACTAGAGGATTCTTACCACCCTACATGGTAATTAATTCGTTGGACTATCGTAGAAGAACCCTTGATTGACTACTTATTTAACGCCAATATTATCAACAACATAAAGGAAAAAACACTAAGAATTTATTAAACAAAACACCAAAGGCATGAACATAGTCATTAAAGAAAAACCCCTAAAAGGCGTAGTTGAGAATTGTCCTACAAAGAATTAAATTGCCTTAATCAATGCTTAAGGGAATTACCCTCCGAGGGACTCAACTTAATGCCTAGTCTACAGGACTTGAATTATAGTCTCGCTCGAGGGACTTAAATTAAAGCATCGCCTGAGGGAGTCGACTTAAAGTCACGCTTGAGGGACTTGACTTAAAGTCTTGCTTGACTTAAAATCTCGCCTGATAGACTTGACTTAAAATCTCGCCTGATAGACTCGACTTATAGTCTCGCTTGAGGGATTCGACTTAAAGTATCGCCTGAGGCGCTTGACATAAAGTGTCATCTGAGGGATTTGACGTAAAGTCTCTTTTGAGGGACTCGACTTAAAGTCTCACCTAAGAGACTCAAATTAAATTCTTGTCCCATGTTGGTTGTCCCGTGCATCGGAATCAAGCTTACTCTTGTCACGAATGCAGGAATTATCATCGCAACTACATCACTTCGTGTTTAAAGAAATGTGTACATGTATAATTTTATATCCCTAAGAGCGGATAAATTAAGAAGAAGAAGGAAAAGTTAAACATGGTAGGCGGAGCGAATATATTGGGTAGGACCTTATGTCGCCCAAGGTTTTGCCAATGACGCTAAGAAATGTGTGATACCGGCCTGACAAGGTCAACTAATCTCCAAATTATGTTTAGGACATCCGAATTAGCTCCAATCGCACAGTAAACATGGACAATGATGTCCTAAGTACCAACTCACTAATGAATTAATAATACTTATCACCCGTGCAAACTCTCAACCTCAAGTCTCTAATAGTTAGAGGGGTCAAAAAAACCCTATATAACAAAACCCTAATATTTAGGCTTATCGTTGGCCCCATTTCTTTAGGCCCCCTACTACATAAATATTTTTTTGGCCCCTTATTTTTAAGCCTCCTTATATTTTTATTTTTTTTTATGGGGCCTAAGTAAGGGGCTCAAACTGAAATCAATTTGAAGTAAAATATTTTAATTTTTTAAATTATTCTTTTTTTTTAAATAAATATTTTTTAAAATTATTTTTTTCTAAAAGAATAAATAATTTTTTTTAAAATTTTTTTCATGAAATAATAGTCAAGTGTTTTTCGAAAATAAAAAAGTCAATTTTTTTCGGAAAAAACTGATTCTTTTTTAAATAAAAAGTCAGTTTTTTTAAAATTAAAAAGGTCGAGTTTTTTTTGAAAATAAAAGAAAAAATCAATTTTTTACGATTTTTTTTTTAATTTAAAAATAGTAGATTTTTTTCGAAAATGAAAAAATAGTTCTTTTTATTCGAAAACTAAAAAAAATCTTTTTTTTCGAAAATAAATAAAAAGTCGCTTTTTTTCTTTTGTAAACTGAAAAAAAGTTGATTTTATTCAAAAATAAAATCAATTTAAAAAATTTTGATTTTTTAGAAATAAAAAGATCAATTTTTTCAGAAAAAAAAAGTCGATTTTTTTCAAAAGTTCAAAATAGTCGATTTTTTTCTAAAGTTTAAAATAGTTGATTTTTTTTGAAAAAAAATGTCAATTTTTATCAAAAATAAAAATAGTCGAATTTTTAGAAAATAAAAAATATTCAATTTTTTTCGAAAATAAAATCGAGTTTTCGGTTAAAAAAATAACTTTCCGACACATAAAAAAAATCAATTTTTTTTATAAAAAAAAAGTCAATTCTTTTTTTAAAGTTAAAATAGGTTGACTTTTTTCAAAAATAAAAAATCAATTAAAAAAGTCGATTTTTCTAAAAATATAAAATTTATGCTTAATTTGACAGCTCTACTAGTAGTACTTAATCACTATGAATCATTAGACAATTGTACTTTCAACAAATACATGTATCTTTTCGAAACAACATAAAATTACTAAAGTAGAAAACAATATTAATTGCACGTTCTTAATAAAAATAAAAATATTTCAAAAAGAATAATCTCTTTCTTTCTCTAGTGAATTTATTATACTTTATTTCAATCATCTTCTTGTGCAACAAAAGCAGGTTTATGACAATTGCTTCCTTGCTTCACCAAAAATGTGTGGCTTCTCAATGGAAAGATGAAATTATGAATTTCTCTAAGTTCACAGGTGTTCATAAACAGTCATTTTTTCTTTCCCCTTCTATTCTAATTCCTACTTCATGTTGATTATCTTTTATTCAGTCATTTTTCTATGATCCTTAGAAATAATAATAAAGGGATTCGATTTGATTGCGAATTTTAATTGTTTCCGTTTTCCCTTAATTGTGTCTCTAAACTTGAACTCAACTTTCACAAACCCTTTCATTCGTGGGTTTCATAACAATGAGATAAATCATTATTTTAATGGATAAGTGTAATTGTTAATAGTGAAGACTAACTGAAAGCACACACAATATACTTTATTCAATAAAACAAGAATATATAAAACACGTGAAAATTTCACCATAATGACCAATTATTGAATCTTCACATACACACAGAGAAACCAAAATTAAAATCTCATATAATTAAAAATATGGACTAAATTTGTCATATGCACCTCAAAAGATATGCATCATTTATTCAAGATAGTAGATTAGGTGAAATTCCATTGTAAAGATGGGCATCATAACCAAATGGAATTGTTCCAATTCCACCACCGTTCAGCACCATGTCCATATACATGATGTCATCATTATCATTTGTAGGCGCTGTTGGTGGTGGCGGCGGCGGTGGTAATAGTGGCAGTGGTGATGGCGGCGGTGGTAGTGCAAGTGGTGGTGTCCTTTGGAGATAGACTTGCCTTTCACTTTGATTTTGGTGAATACTATTTTCGCATTTAGCGGATTCAATCCTTCTGCCAATCTCCTTTAGATTCTTATCAATTATCCAATCAAGATTGCTCAAATCTTCCATCGACATATTGTTATGCACAATGTTCGCAGCATTGAGACACTGAAACATGAGCAATGTTTTCTCTTGCTCTTTGTTGTCTCTCACTTGCCTTTCAAATTGTTTCTCAAACTTCGAAACCCTTTGTTTCAGAAAACTCTCTTGGTTCGCCATCTTTATTCTTTGTTCAAACTCAGGCACTGTCATGAATTTTGAAAGCACCTTTTCAACTCCCGACGGGGATGGCCAGATCTCTGGTTGAGCATTGTACGGACCATAAATGATTGCACAAGCATCGACACCGCAAAGGGTTGAGAGTTCATCAACCTTCTTCACTAAACCCTTCTTCCTGGTCTTGTAAGTTGCTTTCCTTGCAGGATCATTTTCAATGAATGCAATCTTCAATTTTTTTCTAGTCATGGTTTTGACAAGTATAAGGTGAAAATCGACAGAGAAGAAGAAGAAATATTGATGGTTGTGATGTTTGTTTTCGGAAAAATGCGTTGTATATATAGAGACGAAATTCCATATACGTATTCGCGGTTAGATGCATGTGTGAATATAAAATGAGTAAAATGAGTCTTTATTTTTATTCCATCTATGTCAATATATAAAATGAAAGTTATAATGACATTTAATTTTTAACATTTTACAAGTTTTAAATAATTTAATTCAAGAATCGTAATCTATAGATTCATGCACGTAGATATTCTAATAGGATTTTATACTTCTATTTATTTATTTTCTTTTTATAGCAAATAGGATTTTATCCCACCGATTAGACTTCATGTGTAAATATCTACGTGCATTCGCAGGTTCCTTTAGAGGTAGATGGTTCTTGTGTTGGTTCCTTTCCTCTTTTAAATTTTTGATAGGCAATGTATTAGACATATCTGTTTGGGCTGTCACTGTGTGGTCGATTTGGATCTGTAGAAATAATTTTATTTTCAAAGACAAGACTGTGTCGATGGACGATATTATTATTTCGGTTATCTTTTTCCCTTGGTCTTGATTGTTTAGAGGCTCATATCTCCCTAAATGTGTTTTTTATGATTGGTTTGTGAGTCCTATTAATTGTATATAGCGATGGTAACATTCCCGTTCCTTTTGTATTCCGGGTTCAAGCACCCCTTGTTCTTGTAGTAATTTTATAAAGTATTTTGAAAAAACCGATAATTTGTTAATGAATACTTTGAAAACTCCGATAAAATTATATACATGCATATTGAATATTTCAAAATATCCAATAGAAGAAAATGCTTAGATGATTAATCGGAATTTTCGTAAAATTCAAGAAAATCAGGTTGATTTTTGGATTTTTTAAAAATCTAAAAGTTTATATTTCTTCGATTTTTTGCAATGAGGAGCAGAGAAAAGGATGACACCATTGCTTCTCCAGGGATTTTCTTTAATCTTTGAAAGCAAAGTGCGCCTTCGCTAAGATGAGTGGGGTTTAGTAGATGAAAAAAATAAATTCCTTCTCATTCTTTAGAGGTTTAAGTTATCAAACTAGTCATGGACGAATTCAATCCAGGAATAAACTGGAGAGAGACTCTTTTAAACAAGACACTTCCCCATGAGGAATAAACTCAAACTGGGCATTTATCCTATCCATGTATGAAGAAGAGGACTAAAGAAAAAACTTCCACGAGGATCAAACTTAGTGGGGAGTTGGAAAGGACATGTACTTTCTGTTTAAAGTTGACAACTCTATTGGAGAGAGGGAACTTACTACTTGGGAAAAAATATGACCAAAGTGTGTGAACCACGTCAAGAGATGTATATGAATATGAATCATGAATTCAACTATGCATGATGTATAAATGAATGTTATGCTGACAAAACAGACACGAGACAAGAACTGGGAGTAAAAATAAAACAAAATCGGATACTTGGCCAATCTTGCAATACTGGAGATTTTGAAAGCAACACTCTACTGGGGAAAGGGACCGAATTTTATCTTGATTTCCTATTTCGAGGTTTGATTGTTCTTAGAGCAGCTGTTGATATTCACTCTTATGTTCATAAGTTAAAGGAAGTTGTCGTCTTTATTTTGAAAGTAAAAGTAAATACTTTTTTTTTGTTTCAAGAATGAATACCAATAAATAAAAAATATTATTTTGCAAGGCAGAATAAAATAAAAATTGCAATTAAATGGGCACAAGGCTCAAGTTTTTATTGATAGAATGGTGATCAGCTAAAAGCATGATTCCATGGAGCATTACAAAGTTAGGAAATGGTAATTTAAAGAGAAATTGCTATATTGAAATATAATGACCTCACTTTAGATGGTCCTTTCAACATTTTTGAATTTCGAGTATTCTTGAGCTTCTGTCGAAGGTGACTTGATTCAGGATTCTTTGACAAATGACGTCACTTTAGATGGTCCAATCTTGTTGGATGCAGTTACTTGCCATAAATCTCTAACTTCTGCATAGATTGCCTTTTCAAGTTTCCAATCTATTGAGATAACTATTTTCTATTTATGTCTATAATTTTTGCCTCGACCGCCCTTTTGGGTTTTCAGTCCACCGAGACACTCTTTTTTTGCCTATGCTTCCCTTTTGGGTTTTCAACTTAACAAGTTGTTCTTTTGTTTCTTTTTAGGCGAAGTATTTCTTGACTGCATCAACATTTGTAGGACGAGTGAACTCTTCACCATCCATAGTTGTAAGCATTAAGGCACCGCCTGAGAAGACTTTCTTAACAACGTATGGGCCATCATAATTTGGAGTCTATTTGCCTCTGGAGTCAGTGAGGAAAGATTGGATCTTTTTTAGTATGAGGTCGTCTTCTCTGAATAACTGAGGTTGAACCTTTTTGTCAAAAGCTTTCTTCATTCTTTGTTGATATAACTGACCATGGCATAAAGCCGTCATCGTCTTTTCTTCGATTAGACTCAGTTCATCGTATTTGTTTTAACACCATTCAGCTTCTCTTAGCTTGACATCCATCAAGACTCTTATTGACAAGATTTTAACTTCTACGGAGAGCACGACTTCCATGCCCATATACCAAAGAGAAATGGGTTGCGCCTGTTGAAGTGCAGACGAATGTGCGATATCCATGAAGGGAAAACGGTAGTATCTCATGCCAATCCTTGTAAGTCACAACCATCTACTAAATGATCTTCTTGATATTTTTGTTAGCCGCTTCAACAGCTCCATTCATTTTAGGCCGGTAGGAAGACGAGTTATGATTTTCAATTTTGAACTCAGCACATAATTCCTTCATCATTTTGTTGTTCAAGTTCGATCCATTATCAGTAGGTCTTGATTTGTTTCAAATTCAAGATAAGTCTAAGTTACTAATTTTATGTTCAAGTTCAAGTGATCAAGTTCAACTTCATTCAAATTCCAAATTCAATGTCCTTCCAAATCCACTCAAGAATCAATTCCAAATTTCTATTCGAGTCTCAATTTCAAGTTCATGTCAAAGGTCTCAATTTTCCATTCAAGATTCAAATTATAGGAAAGCCCATATTACACAATAAACAAACTGCAAAAGATAGAAACTCATCACCAATTCATTCAAGTCCATTTACAAAAATACTACACAAAAAATATAGAATCCATTACATTTTAAGCTCGCATTCCATAAGCCCATATCACATTACAAGAATCATTTTCATTATACAATCTAAAAAAACAATAATTCCAAAAATACTACCATATCATACAAAGCCCATTTTACAAAATTATAATATAAAGAATAAGTTGCTACAATCGAATAAGAAAAACACAATGTGCCATACACCACAAGCTATTGTATATATAATAAACCACACCATTCACGCCTAAACTTTACATGTTACGCACCCCATGCTCCACAATAAACAGTACCACAACTATTTGCAGCAGCTTGCCACTACAAAGCCTGGCCAACACAAATGCATTAATCAAATATAACAACCTGAGCCATCAAATTTTGTACGCACCTTCTGCCCACAACCATCATCAGCCTTTCGTATACCTTGACACCAACCAAGAAAAGGCTAGCCAACAAGTCTCCATACTGCTACAAAATGCCAAAACCAAAACCAAAAACGTAAAAGCAAAGCCACAATTAATCTTCACACACAACAAATTGTTACGCAGTATACAACCAAATACACACCAAACCACTTGCCTGGCATCCGTTTCACCATGAGCAACATCCTACAACCTTCACACCACACCTGTTGTTAAACCTCAAGACAACAACCTTCTAAGTCGTTGTCCAAAATTGCAACTTGTAAACCATGACTTGCACATCAGCTTTTCCACCTGAATCACTCCCCTGGATAAGCAAAAAAAACCATTCACATAACCTTATCAGCACATCACACCAACTAATTTACAGCAAGCAACTTTGCATACCTCGCCAAAAAGCCAAACCACGTAACAATTCACGAAAAACTGACCCCACCTCTTCAACAAACCTCATACAAATTATTCAATTGACCCCACATAATTTTCCAATGCCCATGATACAACCGCAACCAAGCGCAAAAACTACAGAAGGAATATTCCAAACACATAAAATATCAATCAAAACGACCTCGTTCATAAAATACGCACTGCAAATAATAAAAACTTTCCAAAGCGACAACCAATTCATAAAACGACAACCACGTCACGATTCAAAATGGTAGTGCATTGAAATCTTTTCCAGCTCGCACAATCCATTCCTCTCCTATAAATCACTCTTTACAACCATTGTGGGACAATTCACTCAACAAAAATCAGTTTTTTCTTTTTTAACCTCCTTCACCGTCAAACCTTCACTCAACTTTCTTCAACTCTTCGTAAAATTGTCGCAAAAGTCACAATAACCCTCTTCAAAATACACTTCAACCTTTCAACCAAATCAAAACCAACAGACCTATTATAGTGTAAAAGAAAAGATATTGACTCGAACGAAACAAAACCATCAATACAAACCTGAATGAAGACGGTTGACGTTTCGAGCAAACGAGACGAAATTGAGCGGAGAAGAAGGATGAGAACAAATTCATTTTTATGGAATAATTTGCGTCGCACGATGATGAATATCTGAAGCACATTCCTGTTTTTTTGTTTCCTCAATTTATGAAGGAGTGAGTATTATTCTAAGGGTTATCAATCTGTTATAACTTTTTCTTTTGTTTTAAATGATGATACTGATCTGACACCATGCCATTACTTCTCATGGAGTTGGGCTTTCCATAATCCATGTTGTTTTTTTTATCATTTCTTTTTTGTCTCTCTTTTTGACCGTGTATGATGGTGATGAATGGGCTCAAAGCCCATGATGATCACACATCTAGTTAATTTACTGTGCCCCGCCCATTTATTTTTTATTTAATTTTTTTAATCATTTTTTGTTTATTAGTTTAAACATTTTTACTTTTTTATTTGTTTAGGGCTTTGATATGTTATATTGGTTGATCATGATCTTTT